CAGGGTAGATGGAAACTACGAGAGTTTAACGCGAGACACGTGTGAATGGTCGTGGAGGCGAGCCAGAACTTGGGAAAATGTCAATCCAGGAAGATAACTTTTCTCTGCACACACACACATTCCTATCGTTAATTCGTAGTATTTCGATTTCTATATAATTACGAAAACCGACAATTAAACTTTGAAAGAATCGTATGATAGACAAGACAGTTCACTTATGTGACAGTTTCATGATTCCCTTAGAGAATTCGTTTTTTCTTTTCCACTGTGCTATTACTTTTTCTAATCCCGACTCAACAACATTTTTCTTTGCAAAATCTTTCATTATAAATTACCTAAACGTTCTTTATAAATTGGATCAAGTTATACAGTAAACTGGCAACCATTAAAATGACAAATAATTAGTTAAACATAGTGCACATAATTTCCGTACTTTGGTGAACCAATTACCAAACTCATATAACAACTTTTATATTATTTCAAGCTACTTATTACACAATTTGTTTTGTTAAATTCGAAATAGAAACATCTATATCAAGGAAAAATTTATTTTTCTTTTTATATAGAATATGTTGTCGTTTATATAAAAAATGTAGAAATCATAAAACATTTGTAACATTCTCAATTAACTTTGGTTAAATTGAAATTTAACATTTAAAAATATATTCACCCTTTTTTCTGTCTCTCTCTCTCTATCAAGAGTTATCGATTCGAATATATCGAATTTCTACATTTATTATATGTATATTCTTCTTTCGCAATAATTCTTTTATAATTCGTATGCGAAGTAGAAACGTCCGAGCTGTGCAGGAAACAAATGGCAAGCAAATGTCAGGCGTAAAAAGGAAGTCTTCTTCTTCTTCTTCTTCTTCTTTATCTTCTTATTGTTTCTCAATATTTCTCGAGAGAATTTTGTTTATAGTTTTTTCTTTTTTTTCTAAATTCCTCTCGAAATAGAAATTGTTGAATGAAATAATTGTTGAAATATTTTATCTCACGAGATATATAATTAAAAAAAAAAAAAAAAGAATAAAACCTTATTTGTTTCACTTTTGCATTAAAATACAAACGAAACATTTTACCCAATCCTAATATACATTTTTTTAATTAAAAAACGTTGAAATTTTGAGTCGTTCAACAAATCGTAATATTCATCTTCTCGTTCGTTACTCTAAAAAAAATTAGATCATTTCTATCACTTCATTGTATAAACCTATTCAAAAAAAAAAAAAAAAAAAATAAATTATATCGCAAAACAATTTACAACATC